TAAAAAAAAAAATTAAAAAAAAAAAAAGTTTGTTGGCAATTCTTAAGTTATGTTAGTAGAGTTTAGTCAAGTGGACCAATAATAAAATTATAAATTAATGAACGATTATATCATTATATGACAATGTAATTCTTGACTAGAATATTTGCACTATTTTAATATTGAGTAAAACATTTATCGAAGCCAATATTGCTCTAAAGATTGTTTGAATAATTAATTAAAAATATTCGAGAAGGAAATAAATTATTAAATTGACATTTCAGATTTTGACTGAGAAATTACTGAAGCAAGAACTGGACTATACACAGTTAGAGGAGAAACATAATGAAGAATCTGTGAGTAAAAAGAATATACAGGCAAGCCTTCATCAAAAAGATCTAGATTGTCAACAGCTTCAATCAAGATTATCTGCATCTGAAACTTCGCTACAGAGAATGCAAGCAGAACTAGGTGAAAAAGGAGAAGCTACTCAAAAACTCAAAGAAGAATTATCAGAAGTAGAGACCAAGTACCAGCATCTTAAGGCAGAGTTTAAACAGCTACAACAACAGAGAGAAGAAAAGGAGCAGCATGGGTTACAACTCCAAAGTGAAATTAATCAAGTAAGAGATGATAGTTTTATTTATTGTAATCTCCCCTGTGGTTTCTCTTTCCTGTGCTTGGTGGTTATTTGATCATAATATAGTTGATTTTTAAAAATATTGTCGTTCTTTTAGACTATTAATTGCTACATACTATAGAGTTCAGTCAGTCTCATTTCCTTTAATTTCTATTTCCCTTAGCTGTAAGACGAGAAAAAATAGTAGTTTTGACCTTACAACTTTGTTGTGAAGTGTTCATGAATTGCGTATGATGGACCTGGCACATGGCAGGTACTCAGTAGGTATTAGCTTTTATAATTAATTCAAATTTTTGACCATCTTTTTTTTAAATTTTTTTATTTTTTTGTTGTAATCAAATGAAGTTTACATTTCAAGTTAGTCTCCCATACAGAATTTTTTTTTGTATGTTTTACATACATTGTTATGAGACCCCAACCGCTCACCCCATTCTGCAAAGCACACTCCTCCCCTCCGCCCCTGACTCCCCATGAAGATTCAACCAGCTCCTGACTCTCTGCCTTCCCATCTCACCTCTGGACAGAAGCCGCCCCTTTGGTCTCTTGTATGTACTTGACTAAGAGGCACATTCTTCACAAGTATCAGTTTATGTCCCATAGTCCAGTCCAATCCCTGTCTGAAGAGTTGGCCTGAGAAATTGTTTTAGTTCTGGGGTGATAGACCAGGGGCCATGCTTTCTGGGGCACCTCCAGTCTCAGTCAGACCATTAAGTCTGGTCTTACTAGAATTTGAGTTATGCATCCCATCATTCTACTGCTCCATCAGGGACCCTCTGTTGTGTTCCCTGTCAGGACGTTCATTGGTAGCCGGGCACCATCTAGTTCTGGTCCAGGCTGATGAAGTCTCTGGTTTATGTGGCCCTGTCTGTCTCTTGGGCTATTACTTTCCTTGTGTCTTCGGTGTTCTTTATTCTCCTTTACTCCAAGTGGTTGGGACCAGTTGATGCATCTTAGGTGGCCACTTGCA